TTTCACGCACAATTCTTGACTACTGAGACCGAGGAGAATATGGACGCATCCAGAATGAATTGTTTTTCCGAGAACAAGTTGATTTTTATTCAATTCTCCTCCCAACCAAGATTCGAAGGGCGTTCCAGATTTGGGTCACTTTCAAGAAAACTCTAGATCTTTGATAGCCATCTTGAGTCAATTCTGATATTCAGATCTCTTCATCTAGAGTTTAATCTTCAAAATGAGCCTAAGATTTCTAAAATCGGTTAACGTGGAAAAAAGTTATGGCTGCAAAACCAAAAAGTTGATTTTTTGAGATCACTCTGTAAATAAGAGAGATAGGAAGTTGATTCCCGAAATATCTCGAGGTAATGAGATCATCTTCATGCCTCTGTTGTCGAAGTTGAGAAAAAAAATGTTTTCACCATTTGATAGGCTATCGAACAGTGTGAACCAAATTCAAATTGTTCTAAACTGGAAAAAGTTATTCACATTATAACAGGGGCGACATTTTGGTGTGCGACGAAATTAGTGTTGAGTAGTTTATTACTGCGACATATCATCTGTAAGAGAAGAAAAATTCATTTGTACCCAAGTTATAGTAAGCTATGACCTACATTTGAAAAACTAAAGTTGGTGCTGATATCTCAAATTCTAGAAGAGTTGGTATAAATTTCATATATTTTTCGAAATCACTTCGAAAAACTACCATGAGAATGTGAAATTCCTATTTGAATATTTTCATAAATGAAGAAGTTACGAAGGAGACATGAAAATGATCAAAATCTGTTTTTTGCGTATAAAACAAAAACGAACAGATTTTATCAACATATTTCTTCACATTATAGTTGGCCTTGACAAACTCCACATTTGGTGTCATTTAACCGACCTAAAAAGATTCCCATGGTGAGCATGGTAAGTGGGATACACTGTATAGTTCCATCCTTATTCATTTCTGGGGATAAACACTAGATTTCTGACATTTGTTGTTTTTTAGGTTATATTGAGGACATTGGCGTATCATACGTAATTTCCACATGTAATTTCTCATTCAACTCTACATATTATATCCAAATGATGATGATAATTTTCGAGTTTTCGATTTTTCAACTCCAGCATAATCTTTGTGAGGCAGTGAGCAATTTTTCTGAAAGATTGATACGTTTTACCAAATGGGACTGTTCTTAGGCAGTACCTATCAATAAATGAATTTTGATTTCAGACTAAGTCCGAGACTAAGTCATATGGTTGAGAAATGGTGAAACATTTTCTCTAGGTGTTCACACTAATGTGCTTATATGTCATATGTGCTGTATATCTTCATGTTGGGAATCATTTTTGCAGTTTTTCACGAACACTGAATATGTATGTATGTATGAGTATGCCTCTTCTTTTAATCCTCTGTTTTAATCAAAACTGTTTCTACCAAAATGCATTCAAAAACTTGTGGAGTGGATAATTATATAATATATATAATAATATAAGTATAATATGTGATTTCGTATTTGCTTTATCTCGAATATTTTGCTGTTGTACTTACCAATTTTCCCTATTCGGTCACTTCACTTTTCATGTTCTAAGTTCATTTGCATTTGATGTAAAGCTGACAAATTCAAATTTGCCATCCAACTTATTGATACAGCCTAACACAGCACATTTCACGATCCTTCCAAAACAGAAATGAATAATGGTTAAGTTGAAAAACACCCTTGGGTGACACTTCGCCATTTCATCAATATCACTTTTATAATTTTATGGATGAATAAAGACGAGTTATTATTATTATTATGTCCGTACTTCCCTTACTAGGACGGAAAAATGCTACTTTTTCAAAGAAAAAGCGTCTGGGAAGTAAGTACGGTTGCCGAAAAACGTTATTTTCAGGGAGCCAGAGTGCCAGAGACCTTCATTTTCCAGTTAAGTTATTTATTCTGGAACATTTTCAAATTCCTGTTTTCAAGATTCGTCTTTGCAGTGGTGAGCCATGCAAATTGAAGAGCAGTTTTTCGGTCCTTTTTCATTGAATAGTTTAATTAGAGACACGCGTCGCTACCAAATTTATTTTTGAAATATAGTCCATTATTTCCATTAGTCATATGGCAATTTCGTTATGAAGGGTAAAAAAAATGTTTCATACATATACATCAACTATCATCTTGATTTCCACTATTCACTATTTGACTATGTGAGTCTCCTTATGAATCACCCTGTATAATAACAGATACACCAAACAAACTCACGAAATTCTCTCGGGTTCCAACTCGAATTCCAAGGAAAACGATTTCACTATACTTCTGGTTTCATACGACAAAACACAATGTTTGCCCTCCAACGACCTGCCGAAAGTGTCATAATATGACGTAATTCTGGAATGGTTAATGCCTGTCAATTAACATACATACATATTCTGAGTCATTGAAGACCATGATTAGGATGGGCGTAGAACTTGAATTTTTAGTAAATAATCATCTGATACTTCTACGCCAATGGAAATGAAAGGGTTCGCTACAAAAAATGTACTATTGATGAAATGACATTACTCTCATGGTTTCAACAAAATTGAAATATGGTGAAACCTTAGCCGTGGCACTTGATATCTCCAAGGCATTCAATCGAGTCTGGCACCACGGACTCCTCGCCAAGCTTCCATCTTATGGCTTGCCTCCCCAGCTATGTTCTCTGCTAGCTAGTTTTCTCTCAAACAGATCTCTCCATGTAATGGTCGACGGAGTTTCATCTGACTCTCTTATCATAAATGCTGGTGTTCCGCAAGGATCAATTCTAGCACCAACACTATTTCTACTTCACATCGACGATTTGTTGGAAGCAAATTCATGTCCAGTCACAGCTTCGCGAATGAAAGTACCCTCTATACCGCCTTCTCTTCCAGGGCTCCAATACCAGCCAGGCAAATCAGAAACGAACGAGGGAGAAATGTTGACAACATAAATATGGACTTGGCAACAATTCCCGAATGGGGATCTAATAATTTGGTAGATTTCAATGCAAACAAAACACAAGCATGCCTTTTCTCTAGAAAAGCCGATCTCACTGTTTCCAATATTAGCTTGTCAGGAGTAACCATATACCTTTGAAGACATCCATTTCGATGCTTGGTATTTCTATCAGCGATAACCTTTCTTGGGAGAATCACGTGAGATCAATTGCTAAAAGTGCATCCCAAAAACTTGGTTTTCTGTTTCGGGCCAGGAGCTATTTCACTCCCAGTCAGCTGCTTATGATCTATAAGGCAAAGATCCGACCTGTCCTGCAATGTTGTCCCGATATTTGGAGTGCAGCACCCAAACATACTCTGAAACTGTTGGATTCTGTCCAAAGAAGGGCAATTCGTCTCGTGGATGATGTCTCGCTCACAAACTCATTCACTTCTCTGAAACACTGTAGAAAAGTTGGCGATCTGGCTCTATTTTATAGATATTGTCATGAACGATGCTCTTGAACAATTGTTCCTCCCTAGGCAGTCCCCGCGAGATTAACCCGTCGAGTTGAGGCTTCGCACCCCTTCGTGGTCACTTTGGAGACCTGCAGAATATATCTTTCCAAGGATTGACAGATATTACATACATACATATTACGTATTTTTGTCTGAAAAACACGAATTTCATGATAAAAATGTGAACATACCATTATTTATCAAGATATTTCACTATGAAGTTACAAATTTCACCTACTTTTCCGCCTGTCTTCTGGATTGAATTTAAAACAATTTACCCTTCTTTTTTTCATCAATGGACAATTTATATATATCACAATGTAAGCCACATTTTTTTCTATTATTGAGTCCACTAGAAATATGATTTTCTTGTGATTCATCCATATCTAGTGAAAAAGAAGGAAGAATATCATTTGAAATAATGGCGTGTGTAATGTCATTCCAAAGCAATCTATTGACATTTGACATCTCGTATTTGGATTGCCTATGGATTAAATGGCCGTCATCTGGTATGCTTGCTCACTAAATAGGAAAAACTCACCATACAAATCATATTTCCTGTTGAATTTTCTGCATAAAAATATGTCAGTGAAGTACATCATGAGTATACAAAGCTCGATACAAAGTGTCCAATGACAAAATAAGAAGAGCAAGTACCTGTAAATGCATCCAACGCAAGGGGAAAAAGGAGTCGAAACTCGAACTTTTTTTTGAAATATCTCGATAAATAGTGGTTTGTTCACATTTTCATTATCAAATTCTTGTTTTTCAGACAAAAATACGTAAAACGATACGAAAAAAAACCCATCGCATGCTAAATGCAGTTTTACCTTATTTCATTCATGGAGAATGTGCTTTGGACTATCAGATAATTGTCGTTGGTCAATTACATGTCTTGTCAGTGAATTAATTTTGGTGCGAGTATATAGTCAATACTTTTTCGATTGAAACCCCCTTTATTTTTTTCTAGAGCAATATATTGTTGAGGCATATTTGCTCCTATCGTCATATTTTGGTCCAAACAATCTTCTCTTAGTCTATGTCCCAATAGTTATGACTCACCCTGTATATTAACCTGAAGAATAATGAGTTGTATTTGGACACAGTGTATCACATGGTATCACCTTGTAATTGAGATGCATAAGATAGTGTCACTGTCGAACTGACAATGAAAACTACTGATAGATATAATTTTATTATTCAAACAAGCTTTATTTGTACAGTGCAAACGTTCTTATCATGAATCGATAAATACCCACCTATATAAAAACGACTTTTTTCCCCAATACCAAATGAGATTTCTTGTTGCAGGCATGAACATATCCAAGAGAAAAAAAAACCTGAGAAATAACCAAGACCCACCAAACCGCAGCAATAAGAACCAACACATATCCCCCCATACTGATGAGGACTACCAAACACACTGTGATAACAACCTTATCTGATTACAAGCTTATCGAAATGTTTAATTTAAAATTTAGATAGACCGCATAAAACTCGCCTAGTCAAAACTGTGAAACCGCGTAGTTAACTCCTATCCTACGGACCTGAAAAAAAAAAGAAAATGGGGGTGCTTTGGCGAAAAAGATCCCTTTTGTTGAAACTAGTAGTGATAGTAGGGACAGCGTGGTTCACGATCGCGTTTTTACTTTATTCGGACAATGGTGCCACGTCTCCAAATAGGATCGAAATGCCCGAAATGTTGAGAGAGCGTGAAAATCGGGAAAATCGTGTTTTAGACCGTGAAAATGTCGAGAGGGTGGTCCCGTTCAGGACAGCTTCCAGTTTGAAGGTGGAAAGAAGGGAGGAGAAGCGAGAGGACGACGGGGGAGTTCTGGCGCCTCCCCAAGATAACTACGGGGAGATGGGGAAGCCTGTCGTGCTGCCTGCCAATCTGTCGGGTGAGTTTATCACAAATTTTGTTTATGTTTATGAGAAAAGGCATGTTTTTCTGCAACCGATACAAAAGTCGTCCATTTGAGTTCCAAAATTAGCTCTTGAATCGACATTTCTATTACTGACACAAAAATAGGAGCTAAAGATGAATTGTAGCTCCTAGGAACTGAAAAGGATGTACGAGAAGTCATCAAGAATAGATAGATAGATTTATTGAAGCTTCAAATTTGAAACAGTTGAAAAACTCAAGTCATATTACAAACTTATAAATATAAATATATGTGAAAATTGTCGTCAAAAGTTAAATGATTGAAAATATAGCTTGACTAACACTACACTACACTGTTTTACTACTAACCAAACCGATTTTTTGAAAGCCTCGACACGTGTTTCGCTAACTATGTTAGCATCTTCAGGAGAAGATTAAAACTAAATATCCTTTCCTAGTGTGCTGCTTATATACTAGATATATGTTCACCGAACCGTGAAAAATACTAAATATATATAAAAGGTCCATTGTCCTTATTCATTACTTTATTACTATACTTAAATATCTCTAAGCTTTCATATGCGTCTAATATTCTAATATTATAAACTTGCTTTACTAATTTGAGGTTAGTAATATGTGTGTTATGATTGTGATTGAACATATGTTCGACAACACAAGATTTATCTAACCTGCCATATTTCAAATGTGCTATGTGTTCTTTGAACCTTGTTTTTATGGGTCGCCTGGTTTGGCCTATATATGTTTTATCACAATCATTACAACTTATTTCGTATATTCCCGACTTTTCAAGTGTGTCCACTTCATCTTCCGAATTGCCTAATAAAACCTAAGGTTTTGAAAGCGTTTATCAGTCTGGGTCAAAATTAGGCATCCTGAAGATGCTAACATAGTTAGCGAAACACGTGTCGAGGCGTTTGAAAAATCGGTTTGATTGGTGGTAAAACAGTGTAGTGTATTATCGTGCCAAAGGTTCTGGTCTTCGATATATTAACTAACACTAGATTAAATTGATTAAAATATCACAGTCGAAACGATATCATTGTAAAAGAGCAGATAACATGTATAGGTACGTATCACCTAATAAAAAAAAAATGATAATGTAAGTTATTTCTCACAGAATTCTTGTAGTGAATATTTCTTTGTCACACAATAGATCGAAAACAGGTTTTATAAAAATTTCTGTCCTGGTACAGGCTACTCTGATCTTCTAGGGTATATGGTTATAAAATTTAATGGCTGCATAGTGCGGTCCTTTCTTAGTATTTTTCAATCTATGCTTAGAAAAAATGTAATTTGATTTTTGCCTGGTTGGATATTCATGTTTGTATGTGTCCCTTTCGAATTTTGATTTATTATAACATATTATTTTTACATTGCTACGGTTGGTAATTTGGGTTGGGACGCATACCTGATTTGTTTCCGATTTCGGTAGATTTGGCATTTCATACCCATTCTGGAGATATAAAAACAGGCAAGCCTACAAGATTCACATCATACTTGCTTGATCTGTATTCCATTCGTTATGTTATATCGGGATGAATAACTTGTTTTCGAATAATCACGGCCAGTAATACTTTTTTCTCTCACACAACGATATTGTTTACCTTCATTTGATTACCGAGCCAAATACAGTGGAGTATGGAGAGAAATAATCACTAATGTAATTATTGATATGCTCACTAACCTTCATACACAAATGGGTCACTCTGTGTTTGTATTCATATCGAAACTACAATTCTAACATCATGAAAATTGAATGAACCTGATCTGTTGATGCAGGTAGAATATTCTCACCATAAGGATTATTCGTTGCATTTCATACATATGGCACGGCATTGGTGGTTACGGTTACTTCACATATTTATTTTAGTCAATTCTTTCGGTAGCAGAAAAATCGCATGTTTCATTCGGATCAAAAGTGACTTTGTCTGACTCGCAAATTTTGTTTTCGCTAAACGCTCCGCCTCGCAAATGCAAAATTCGCTTGTCAAACAAAGTGTCACTTTTGATCCTAATGAAACAATCTACTATTTTATGTTTCAGCGGACGTTAAAAAAATGGTGGACGACGGTTGGTTGAAAAACGCTTTTAATCAATACGCTAGCGATTTGATTAGTGTGCATAGGAGCTTACCAGACCCTAGAGACGAATGGTGAGTATGTATACCTAATTAATTCCGCATGGCAGCCGTTCATATAGGTGCCAATTCAAAATATACAGGGCAGTACAAAGTGCACAACACGAAAAAAGTATATCTGTTCATTATTTAGGGCCTATTTATGCATCATTGTCTTAGTCATTGTCTTAATCATAGTCTTACCAAGGTGAATAGAATATTAACTCATCATATTTGGACCTTTATGCATCACAGTCTTTAGGCTTAAGAATTATGATATGACAATTGACAATGTCTAGAGATTCGTCAGTAGATAGGTACAAAAACAAATTCTACACACCAGAGATGAAATGTAATCTATTCACCAGTCAATGCCATGATGTGTGACATTGATTTCCAGGAATTCTGTGTTGCAATTTTATCTTTGTATCTTGAGTCTTTCTTGTCCCAAAGATGGGGAAATTTCTCTACCAAATCTATTAGGGTTTCTTCTTCCAGGCTCATGATTTTTTGATATTTGTTATCAAATGTAATCAAATTATCAGAATGATGTAATCCAATTATTGACACATCGCAGAATAGCAATGATTTTTGGGTGACAAACACGAACTTGAAAGTCATTTGTGATTGTCAAATTGGGCTACACATGCGCATTTCTTATGTGGTCTCAATCATAAGCATAAAAATTGAAAGTTTGTAACTTTCATTTCAGGGTCATGATTCAATGATTATGATTAGGACTAAGACTAAAAATGTTGCATGAATTTCCCCATTGAAATGTATGCTCATAACTTGATTTTATGATTAAAACAAAGACTGTGACTAAGACTAAGACTGAAACAATGATGCATAAATAGGCCCTTAATGTTACTTGACAATAATGCCTTGAATCTATTTGTGTTCGTTTTTCTTGCTTCTTCCTCGCGGTATTGTGAGAGTAACAGAAATATTCATGAGAATCCTACAATCTCGATACCAGTTTCAGGGGAATTTCCTAATTGTCAGCTGGTGCAAAACAAACTGTTTCGGCTTGCCAAGCCTCATCAGTTGCACTAGGCCAGCTGACAATCTAGTCACGAAAGGAAAACCAATATACAGATACTTGGTTCAATCAATAGCTCTGTTCGCTGTTTCTGCATGCAATTTATATTGTACACTACATTTTTCTACAATACACTTTTCGGCGTAGACGAGTGTAGTAGAGTGGAGTGTGGTGAATTGATATCTTGTTCCTTGCTTATGGTGTAGTCAAGTGTATTGGTATTGAAATAGTGGTTTTTTATTTTCATTTTCCACTAATTAAATCACCTAATTTAGAGAGATCTTGGTAGCATCAAATCTGAACGTTGAATTTTCGCTCGCCCTGAGCATCTCGCTGATATTGGCCATGGATAGGACCCCGTCCTGGGACATAGCCTGCCCATCATATCCATCATATCTATCATGTGTGTTGTGTAAAAACCGACCCCCCTGGACCATTCGTGGCCGACCTCTGGGCACCGGGAGGTCTCCCCAGAGGGTTTTAACGTGTATTGTTACCGTAATGTTTCATATGTTGCTGTTTTATTTACATGTTATATTAGGTTTTATATATACCCACATAAATGTTATACATGTTTAAGTTGAGAAATAAAAGTATTGAATCGGTATTTCCGGTATCCTCAACACCAACAAAGCTTGTGGCTCCGACGGAATCCCACCGATTGTTCTCAAGAAATGTGGGGATATTCCCGTCCAACTGGGAAATTGCCAGAGTACAACCAGTTCCTAAAAATGGCAAAAAGACCCTACCCATCGAGCACAAACATCCCTGGGATGTTTTGGGATGTTTTGAAAATGTTGGCATGAAGATGTCATTTTGAGACGTAATATGCACTGACCAAAGAGGTCTTTGAAGGATATTGAAGTATTGTTTTTGTTCTGCTGTGGCATTTCTTTGTTTGCCTACTGAGAGGTATCCCTGGGATGTTTTAGAAATGTAGGCATGAGGATGTTTTTTTGAGGCGTAATATGCAGTTCGCAAAGAGGTCTTAGAAGGATATTGAAAGTATTGTATTTGTTCTTTTGTGCCCTTTCTTTGTTTGCCCCACCACAACGTCTCATGCTTACGTCACAATACGATGAATTCTGATTTGTTCTCGATTTTGTTCTTCTTGTTCGCAATTGGCATTCGCGTTTGCAGCGTGTCACGCTTACATCACGCTGCTAACGAACAGAAAGGAATTTGGTGAAGTTTATTGTGTTAGAAGACCATGATGACCATCAGATGCAAGATGTGTTGTTTGGTAGCTCAGTGTAATCATTATATAAAAGTACGAATTCATCAATACACAGCTTCTCCGCAGTTGCAAAATTATGCATTGTGGAGAACATTTCAAGAATTGGGAAACCTATTTCCAATTATATGTCTGTGTGTAGTAAGCACTACTCAGAAACCGATTAAGAAGGTAATTTCATATCAAGAAAATATTTTTATGTTCAATCCAATTTTAATGCATTTTTTCATTCAAGGAAAATGGAATCCTAATGAAAAAGTTCATTTTGACAAAAGGCTTCAGAAAAGTACCTCAAAATTGTTTTTTTTACAGCGATTTGATGTGCGCAAGACGCGTTGAAAATGTTTTGTTGTGTCCATGAAAAGGCTTTAAAAAGAACTAGGGAGAATGTAGTTTTGTGACATATCAAGGACATTTTAACATCTCTGAGATGTTTTTGTGCTCGCTGGGTACCTAGCAACTACCGATCGATCGCACTGCTATCTATTATTTCAAAGATCATAGAGAAAGCTATCGACATATCTATAGCTCATGAAATACCTGGAACATTCAGGTATTATCAACGATAGGCAATATGGCTTCCGTCATCAGAGATCAACTGGTGACCTGCTCGCTTACGTCTCACATATATGGCAGCAATCTATTGAGAAATATGGTGAAACCTTAGCCGTGGCACTTGATATCTCCAAGGCATTCGATCGAGTCTGGCACCAAGGACTCCTCGCCAAGCTTCCATCTTATGGCTTGCCTCCCCAGCTATGTTCTCTGCTAGCTAGTTTTCTCTCAAACAAGTCTCTCCATGTAGTGGTCGACGGAGTTTCATCTGACTCTCTTATCATAAATGCTGGTGTTCCGCAAGGATCAATTCTAGCACCAACACTATTCCTACTCCATATCAACGATTTGTTGGAAGCAACTTCATGTCCAGTACACAGCTTCGCGGATGATAGTACCCTCCATACCGCCTTCTCTTCCAGCCAGCCAAATCAGAAACGAACGAGGGAGAAATGTTGACAACATTAAGTCTTTGGTATGGAGGGTACTTTCATACTACTACTACTACTATACTACTACTACTATACTACTACTATACTACTATACTATACTATACTACTACTACTATACTACTACTATACTATACTACTACTATACTTTACTACTTCTATACCACACTACTACTATATACATGAATAAACAACAATGAATATAAATACCTAATAACAACTTACATTATAATGACCATCACGACGAGTTCTTGTCAAGTCAAGAGTAGCCCCATCGATTCGGGTTCTATTCATATTTGAAATCGATGGTAGATTTGCAATCTTCCGCGATGGGAATGGCCATTACCTTTCGATATTGCTTACCTAGGTATTATCGCACGGTAAGCGGTTTTTGCAAGTTCTACAGGAACTCCGCAGACCTAGTCCAAACTACACTGTACTGGATGTGTCAATTTGGAAAAGTTGATTTATAATTATTATTAAAGATCTTTAAATGAACGCGAGTTTGAGTGATTTTATTCCATAGGCATTTGTACTTCGTGACAGTATCATTGTCTGTTTTATTTTCTGTTGTTTCATTATTAGTATCATCATCTGTACAATTGTCTGATATACCACTATCTGTGATATGTTCTGTTCTGCTTCATTGCTTGTACCATTGTCTGTATAACTGTCTATATCATTATCTGTATCACTGTATGTGTCATTTTCTGTGTATTTACTGTATTTGTCCCTTTCTATGTCATCGTCAATGACATCGTTCACAAAACTGTCTCATTAAGGTTCCAGAATTAAGAAAAAATAGGTATTATTCTGCTGAGAAAATGTTTATTGGTCGACTCTAGACGGCACTAGAGTTCCTAAATCTACTTGAAACTGCTGTTTTGACGTTTTTTGTATATTAGAGTACGGACACTAGACAAGCAGTGACAATCAAACATAACCACAAACGATTTTGAAGCAAATCATATGTTTTGGCAGACAAGGACAAGAATATGTTTTTCGCTTAGATAAAGGATCCTCGCATCTTCCTTTCTCCACAAGTCCTGGGAAGAGTACATCCACATATCTTTTTCTGTATTTGATTTTTGTATGAGAGTGCATAGCGTCTCTTCGAGTGGGTAAAAGGGTACGATAAATCGATTAGAAAATTATTTCTTCTCGAAATATTGAATGATAAGGCTGAAGGACTTCAATGGAGGTCGATATCAAGTTGGTATGCAATTTCAACCAATGAAACATACCTTTATTTCGTATGGAACAATTTCACTTGTACAAGAGTGGTAGGTAATAAGTAATTAATAAATGAACAAATGATTTGGCAACAATAACAGCTGATTTCAGTTAGGATAAATAATAAAGGTTCTCCAAGACATACGGAAGTAGGTATGAATGGACTTCAGCGCTCGATTCACTATAGATCGCCGTTCACATTGCTGAAGGGGATTGTTGCTTTGAACCCGGCCATCGAAAGATCATTTTCATTCATTCATCAATACCTAATATAAATGGTGCACTCGTTAAGCGTTCTTGTTCTGTGCTCTGATAATAGAGAGTTGAAGTGTTGCCATGAACGTCAACGTAAACGTAGAAATTGACAGCTACGCATGCGCATTTTTCAATTCTTCACGTTTACGTGGGTAGTAGTCTAACGGGTGTACGTTATCTCACGTACTTTCACGTATACCTTAAATATAAACGTACGTTAACCAGATTATACTCAGGATATGCCGATGAGTCAAAATTATCATATTCGGGATCTCGAAAACAAATCAGAATTCATCGTATTGTGACGTAAGCATGAGACGTTGTGGTGGGGCAAACAAAAAAAGGACACAAAAGAACAAAAACAATACTTTCAATATCCTTTCAAGACCTCTTTGGGAAGTGCATATTACGCCTCAAAAAAACATCCTCATGCCTACATTTCTAAAACATCCCAAAACATCCCAGGGATACCTCTCAGTAGGCAAACAAAGAAATGCCACAGAAGAACAAAAACAATACTTCAATATCCTTCAAAGACCTCTTTGGTCAGTGCATATTACGTCTCAAAATAACATCTTCATGCCAACATTTTCAAAACATCCCAGGGATGTTTGTGCTCGCTGGGAATATGCGAGGTTGCGAAGTGAACCGAACAGAACAAAAACCATCTCCACACCAACCCCTCTCTGTTTCAGGTGCAAAAAGCAAACCTACCACTCTCGACTACCCTCCACCTCAGTCATCATCTGCTTCCACAACGAAGCGTGGTCGGTGCTCCTGAGAACTGTCCACTCTGTCCTCGACAGATCGCCCTCCGACCTCATCGAGGAGGTCATCCTCGTGGACGACTTCTCCGACATGGAGCACACCAAGGAGCAGCTGGAGGAGTATTGGGCCAAAGAGCCCAAGGTGAGGATCGTGAGGGCGAAGAAGAGGGAGGGATTGATCAGGGCGAGACTAATTGGTAAGGACAGTTATCGCCTCATCAATTTGACATTGATTTGATATTATATTCAACATGAATCCAACAATAATTTAGCATCATTTCAACATCAATTAAACATTAATTCAACATTAATCCAACATCAATTCAACATTAATCCAACATTGATTCAACATTGATTGAACATTGATTTTACATTAATTCAACAATAATTTAACATTAATTCAGCTTTATTTCAACACTAACTGAACATTATTTCAATATTGATTGAACATTCAATAATCATTCAACACCATGCAACATTGGATTAACATTAATTCAACATTAATTCAACATCAACCTATCTTTAACGAGATTAACTTCAACATAAAATTAACTGAACATTGATTGATTGATTGTCTTTATTACCCCAAGAAACATTTTTGTTTATAATAGGGATATATACAACAAAACATACATATAACATAATAAATCGAAACAATAATAATTGCACAATTATTGTTTTTCCTAAAAAAAAAAAATATAATAAAAAATAAAATGAAAATATTATAATTCATTACAAGTTATCAAATTGTGAATGATTAGTAGGTACTATTAGTAGATATGGAATTAAAGTTCACTGAGCAGATATTTCTTTAATTTCATTTCAAATTTTTCTGCTTCTATATTTTTCAACTCATTAGGTGATATAATTATAGTTATACAAAATTATTCCATTATGGAATATTGATTGTTTACCAAAATTTGACTTACAATTATTTGCTATCAATAAATTGAATTGCCTTGTTTCATGGGCGTGATTCGTATTAACTTCATTAAAATTCAAATTCGATATTTTCAATTCCTTCCTGACAAAATGAATAAAACAACAAATTTTGAGTTTATATAATGAAACTAGATTCAGCAAGTCTTTAGGTTTGTATAGATTCGCAGTTGATTCTAAAAAAGGTAAATTGAAAATGCACTTTATTGTTTTATTTTGTAATTTCATGAGTGGCTTCAAACGTGAAATATTTGTACTTCCCCAAATAGATATTAGATATTGTATATTTGAATAAAAAGACCGAAATAAATACTCTTTAGGTATTTAACAGGAATGAAATTTCGAATTTTATATATAATACCAGCACCAGCAATAGGATTCAATTTTTTCCTCAATTGATCTATATGTAGAGTCCACGATAGTTGTTCATCTATATATAGACCTAAAAATTTTGTTACATTTGTATATTCAATGGATTTGTTATTGAAACATAAACATATTGGGGTATTATTCAATATATCCGTTGTTCTTTTTGAGATGTACATATACGTAGATTTACTATAATTAAGAGTCGACTTATTGGTCGTTAGCCAAGATGATATTTGTTTCAAATCATTTTTAATATCATTATTGATATCGTTGAAATATTTTGAAGTATAGATTATTGTTGTATCATCTGCAAATAATTTTAGTTTTTCTTTCAATTTCAAAGTAGATATTGAGTTGATATAGATTAAAAATAAAATTGGCCCCAAAACTGATCCTTGCGGTACACCACATGTAATATTCATCAAGGAACTACAAGGATTATTCACATCAACATACTGTTTTCAAATAATTTTGGATTCAATCATGAATTTTGCCTCTGACACCTATTGATTAAGTTAACATCAACTCAACATTATTCTAACATTTAGTTAACATTAACGTAACGATAACCCAACATCAACATCAACTTAACATCACATTAACATGAAATTGCCCATCAACTCAACATTCACTTATCATCAACTGAACATTAACTCAACCTTTACTTACCTTCAACTTATTATCAATTTAACACTGATTCAACTTTGGGAGCATCCCACGATGCCCAATTCCTACGATGCCCACCTTCATGTCGACGATTACGAAGATTTCCGAGGAGCGCAACGTTGCCAGCTCAACAGAAAAATTCAGAAAACATTAATGACAATAACTTTATTTTAAATCAACATTAACCAACATTAACATCCAACCAGGATGACCTCATCGAGTAGGTTGATCAGGGCGAGACTGATCAGTGAGGACACAAGTCGTCCTCTATAATACACTAGTTGGTGGAATAACTATTTTTCTTCACTAGCTATAGAATTCATCATTATGTAAGCATACTCTTTTTCGAGGCGTGAGGTGTGATTTTTTTTATCGAGGTATCATTTGTCATTTTGTGAACTTCTAGTTCATAAAGACATCCTCTGTTATAATTCACTGTTCTGATGCGAGATTCGCAGGAATGGCACTCGAATCTAGTAATGATTAATTATTATATTATGCTGTCATGATGGTTATATCTACTAGATTCAATTAGCATTGAAAAAGAGTGCTTTCATGATGCCAATAGGTCCATATTCCGATTTCGCAGAACTATAATGTATGAAATATATTGCTAGTGGTGAAAAAATTTTGATATTGGTACACCTTGGTGAATAGAATATTATTACAACGGGACTGTATACACCTCGGCTGAAGCCTGGGGATATAACCTTGGTTCCTGGATAATATAATGATATTCTTTACTACCTTGACGAATAAACAACTATTTATGAACGATTCTTAGCCTGAGAAATATCAATTCTACAGAAATTCGAAGTAATAATTAAATTTTTTTATGATAAATGTTCAAATGCACTTCAACGACCCAAATCCGAGTCACCCTTTGTTGCAGCGATCTACTAAGGGGTCAGGGTTTATTCTTTAATTAAGTGACAGAAGATGTCGCCAGGATTCACTTCTGTCAAGGTTGGTAAAACTGATTATAATTTGTATAGGAAGGTTGCCTCGATCGATAGTGCGGCAAGGGGGGAAACGGTCACTCGTGACGTCACAGGCAGTAAGACGACAAGTTGTCAACCTTAAAGCGACATGTCATGAAATGTTTACCAAATAGAGTATACAAACATGATACAAACTTTTTGGTCTGCTCAGCATATATTAATTTATAGTATATAATTATAAGTAAGTACCATTATAAAATATGGTTATTTACATATACGTCTGTATAATACCTTCAATCTTCGAAATGAGAAGGCAATTTTGGATGGATCAGTAGTACAGAGAGGAATACCTATCTGAAATTTTGTTCCAGGGGCTATTTACCAGGTCGTGGTACCAGGTATGTGTGTTTTGAGGTATGGAGCATAATTATGGAGCTAGTGATTACTTATGCATTGATTATGAACCTACTCATCCTATAAATATCCTGCAAATCAGATAATGTGAACAAGAAACTACAGAAAATATAAGAATAATCAACTGATGATCCAGAAGTAGTAGCAGTGGACCAATATTCGTACACAACAGATCACTTATTTTATCAATATAACTCTGTATTCTGAAAAATTAACAAACTTTCCTAGATATATACCTATAGAAAATACAAGAGGAAATAGTATTTCATTGTTTGATTATATTGTAGTCAAAAACAGAGCAATTGATCGAAGTATTTGAGCATAAAAAATTAACAAAATATGATTCGGAACAAAATTAATGAAAAATAACACTACTATTATAAGTGAACCTATAATAAAGGATAGTTCAAGGAATCTCTCGAATAAACATAGCTCCTCTTCGTTGGGTAACGTACTCTTGCTCAAATATCTCAACTTGAAAACACGTGTGATATCTTCTGATGTCCATTTTACCCTTTCAGCAAGAATATTAACATTCACAACTGGTCTGGTTCTGATCATTTTTCCAAACTTCCATACTTATGGTGTTTCTCTTGTTGTATTTGGTATTATTGATGGGATTCCTACCTTGAGTTTTCTTCTCTTTGGTGTGTGATTTAGCAATTCTGCTTGTGCCGTTCAAAATCCTCGGCATCGAAATGGGCAGAACATATTCGCCAAGTTTTGGTATTAAATGAATTAAAATTACGTCCACAAAATTGAATCCATTTCTCACGAATAGACTCATCTTATGGAAATTAATGGAAACACAAACTAAATTCACTAGTCTCATTACACTTGTACGAATTGACCGAACAAATTATCATTTTTACATTTTTAAGTTCAGAATGGTTCAAATATTCGAAAATACTGACAACTGTCAACTCAATACATGCGCCGGCCAATCGCCGGCGTACATATCATACACGAAGTGTACGAGAGTGCTACACTTTTCGTGCAAAAGAAAGGGCCTTTTACGTCATGAGTTACTCAAGGTTACTCGCGGGGTGCGATCGAGGCAACCTTGCTCTACAAAATAGTCATCAGTTCTACCAACCTTGACTTCTGTCAAGTATCCTTCGCGTTACAGTTTCATAGTTTTTTCCGAGTTACAGGTCAGAATTTAGAAATTACAGATTTCCCTACAACATCGACAAATTGTTTCCTCTAATATTTTCCTCTGCTGCTTCTAGGCGCCGCCCACGCCAAAGGCAAAGTCCTCACCTACCTCGACTCCCACTGCGAATGCGCCCTCGGCTGGCTGGAACCCCTTCTGGACCGCATCGCCCTCAACCCCACCAACGTCGTCTGTCCCGTCATCGACGTCATCGACGACGCCACCCTCGAATTCCACTATCACGACAGCGGCGGCGTCAACGTGGGCGGCTTCGATTGGAATTTGCAGTTCAATTGGCACGCGGTGCCCGAACACGAGAAGAAGAAGCATAAAAATACGGCGGAGCCGGTCTGGAGCCCCACCATGGCCGGGGGGTTGTTCAGTATTGATAAGGTGAATTTTTAGAATTTTTTAAAATTTTTGACCCCCTTGGAAAAAAAAAATTGGTACGCCCCTGGAATTTTTCGATATCGAATAAATAACGATTTTGCAATCAGTTTCAATTTTGACTCCTTTGAAAAATTTGTGGTACGCCCCTGAACCGACGATTTCGATTTTCCGTAGGTCGATATCGGAGAAATTTTGAATATCCGACAATTCAATGGTACGCTCCTGAAATCATGTTGGGTTTAAAAAAAATGACAGAAAACCTCGAATTTAGATTTTTTTAATCCTTGACCACCTGATGAAAATAATATGTGCGCTCATGAAGTCACAATTTTGACTCGCCCTAAACCCCACCAACGTCGTCTGTCCCGTCATCGACGTTATCGACGACGCCACCCTCGAATTCCACTATCACGACAGCGGCGGCGTCAACGTGGGCGGCTTCGATTGGAATTTGCAGTTCAATTGGCACGCGGTGCCCGAACACGAGAAGAAGAAGCATAAAAATACGGCGGAGCCGGTCTGGAGTCCTACAATGGCCGGGGGGCTGTTCAGTATTGATAAGGTGAATTTTTAGAATTTTTTAAAATTTTTGACCCCCTTGGAAAAAAATTCAGTACGCCCCTGGAATTTTCCAATATCGAATAAATTACGATTTTACAATGATTTTTAATTTTGACTCCTTTGAAAAATTTGTGGTACGCCCCTGAACCGACGATTTCGATTTTCCGTAGGTCGATATCGGAGAAATTTTGAATATACGACAATTTCTATCTTTTCGGCCTTTATAATGAGTTAATGGTACGCTCCTGAAATCATGTTGGGTTAAAAAAAATGTCAGGAAACCTCGAATTTAGTTTTTTTTAATCCTTGACCACCTGATGAAAATAATATATTGTGCGCTCATGAAGTCACAATTTTGACTCGCCCTGAACACCACCAACGTCGTCTGTCCCGTCATCGACGACGCCACCCTCGATTTCCACTATCACGACAGCGGCGGCGTCAACGTTGGCGGCTTCAATTGGAATTTGTAGTTCAATTGGCACGCGGTGCCCGAACACGAAAAGAAGAAGCACAAAAATACGGCGGAGCCGGTCTGGAGTCCTACAATGGCCGGAGGGCTGTTCAGTATTGATAAGGTGAATTTTTGGAATTTTTTAAAAAATTTGACCCCCCTGAAAAAATATTTGGTACGCCCCTGGAATGTTTATTTTCTAATAAATCACGATTTTTTCATGTCAACTTCTTTGACAGATTTGAAGGCACGCCCCTGAACCCACGATTACGATTTTATTCGTCGATATCGAAGAAATCTTGAAATTGAATCATTTTTAACCCCCTTGAAAAAATAATTGATCCGCTCCCGAAATTTTTGTTGTCGAATGAAATCTAAATTCATTACTATTTTTCAAATTTCACGTCCTTTATGAATTGAAGGGACGCCCCTGAACTGAAAATTTCAATTGTATGTTGGTCGATGTCGAAGAAATGTTGATATTTGAACTATTCTTGTATCCTTTTTAACCCGATGGCGTCAACGTTGGCGGCTTCGACAATTTGCAATTTAAGTTGCACACGTTGCCCGAACATGGAAAAATAAGCAGAAAAATTTGGCGGAGCTGAATTGGAGTCCCCCCATGGCGTGGGGCTGTTCAGTTCAGATAAGTTGACATTTTTGATTTATTTTTATTTTTGACCCCTTAGGAAACAGAATGATACGTCCCTGGATTTTTTATCGAATAAATTATGCTTTTTCAAATTTTTGCCCTTTGAAATAAATTAAGGTACGCCCCTGCACCCACAATTTCAATCTCATGTTAGTCGATGTCGAAGAAATGTTGAAATTCGACAACTTTTATTTTCTGCACGTTCAAAAAATTGATGGGTACGCCCCTGAAATCACTTTGAGCTTTTTCAAGTATTTCGGAAAAATCGCGAATTCCGATTCTTCCATTTTTGAACCCTTATAAAAATAATATGTGCGCCCATGAAGTCACAATCTATACTCGCCTTTAACCGTTACCACCGATAAAACAAGGCCTGCATGCTCCGTGGGTGACGTCACTTAGTCAGGCCTAACCAGCGGCTCGAAACGACAAGCGCTTATAGCGCTATAAGGCGACCGCGTATTTCGATTTTAGTTTTAGATCATTATTGAGCCGATTTTGCTTTTTTTTTGAAGGGCTTCCGGTTAAAAGAGGATGCCAGCCGTCAACTGAGCCCTTCTTCGCATCCCATTCGATTTTATTATGGAAAAAACGAAGTTTCAAAGCAAAAACCAGAATAAAACACAAATACCCACCTACAGCAACCCATTCGAATTAAATATATTGGCAAAAATTGTAGTGATTCAATCTCATTAGAGGTAAACTTCACACCTACTTATACAGGGCCCGCAGAACATAAACTTATCATGAGATTGATCGAAAGAAAATTGGGGAAAATGTATTTTAGTTTGATATACATGCCGTATGTTATACCTAATTGCCTATATTTATCTTGGAGAATTCCTATTACCTAAAAAATTAGCCAGTGAGTGTTTTCAATTTCCTGTTGTTGGATTTTTTACCCAATTGGTCGTTAGACTTGAAACAGTAATTTTTAAGTAGAGTGTTTGGGGTACATGTTAATATAATAGTTGCAATTTGATCATTGGAATGAATTCTGCATTCATTGCCACGAGGCAAATTTTGAACCACTTTTCGGGCAACTGAAAAGACTCTAATACAACTAGAAATTCTTGAAATTCTGTGTAGCAAAATGATTTTTGGTAATTTTCGAATTCAGTTTTACTTTTGATAAGTGCTTGTGCCAAATTTTTAGTCTCTAGTATCTCAAGTTTTTCATCACGACTTGTGCGTAATTTTACATCTTTCGATAAATAAGATGGACAGTTGGGAAATTGAGTGGGAATAACATCTCGTTCGAGCCTAGGAATTTTCAAATCTATTGTTACAGTTTTGCCAGTTTTTGAATCGGTTGCAGTAGATGAAGTAATAATATCATCTTTAGTAAAATGTAATTCACATACTCTACTGTACTTAGATGGAGTCGTAAAATCCTTGCGGTGAATTGCATGTACCCACTTTTTCGATAATTCCTTGTCCAACGGGAAACTAAAAGCATGAACTTTTGGACCACCCACATAATTCCCCCGACAAAAGGGAACACAACACTTGTAAGGCATTGTTATTTCGCCTATCACAACACGAAATATTTCACAAAACAGTAATTTCTCCGCCAATTATTTTGATGAATAATCAACAAGAGAATTTGAGCACACGCGATTTACCTACGCCACCGTTCTTAAACAAAAACAAACTGACGATCGATCGACGCGAATGCCTTGGAAGATGGCCTGAGTATGCGACGTCACGAGCTGTTTACGTCAGAGTCTGCTGGCCTTGTTTTATCGGTGGTAACGCTTTAACCCCACCAACTTCGTTTGTCCCGTGGTCGACGTCTTCGATGATGCCAGCCTATAACGACAGCAGCGACGTCAACGTGTATACAATGGACGAGGGGTTGTTCAGTATCGATAAGGTGAATTTTTAGAAATTTATCAACTTTTTCCACGTACGTTTCAACAGAAAGGTATGCCCCTGGAATTTTTGCTTTCGAATGAATTACGATTTTTTATCCCTACAACCTTAAAAAAATTATGGCGCGCCTCTGAACCCATGAATTCAATTATATTTTGGTCGATGACGGCAAAATTATTTTCGAAATATTGACAACTTTCATTTCTAATTCCCTTGAAAAATATTTTGTACGCCTCTGGAAATTCGTTGTCGAATAAATTCCGAATTTAGGATTTTTTTACATTTTCGATGAAAAATTTGGTACGCCACTGGAATTTTTGCATTCGAATAGAGAAAAAAAGAACCCATAAATTAATTCAATTGTATTTTGGTCGATGACGGAAATATTATTTTCGAAATTTTAACAACTTTTATTTTTAACTCCCTCGAAAAATAATTGGTACGCCCCTGGAAATTCGTTGTCGAATAAATTGCGAATTCAGGTTCTTTCGACATTTTCGACCACTTCCAGAATTTTGGTACGCCACTGGAATTTTTGCTTTCGAATAAATTAAGATTTTTTATCTCTACTTCCTTAAAATAATCATGGCACGCCTCTGAACCCATGAATTCAATTGTATTTTGGTCGATGACGGAAAAATTTTGTTCGAAATTTTGAAAACTTCCATTTTCAACCTCCTTGCAAAATAATTGGTACGCCACTGGAAATTTGTTGTCAAATGAATTCCGAATTTAGGTTTTTTTAACATGTTTGACCACTTTAACAAAATTTTAGAACGCCCCTGGAATTTTTGCTTTGAATAAATGACGATTTTTTATCTCTACCTCCTTAAAAAAATCATGGCACGCCTCTGAACCCACGAATTCAATTGTATTTGGGTCGATGACGGAAAAATTATGTTCAAAATTTTGAAAATTCTTATTTTTAACCCCTTTGAAAAATAATTTGGGATTTTTTAACATTGTTGACTCCTTTATTGTGAGTACTCACAGAGAAAAATAGTAAAATTGTCTATCTAATTATACCAGCATGAAAACAATATGGATGTTTTCACATCTGTCCATTATACCAGTACCAGTACCTACTTATCATCTCTTAATATCCTCCCTAAGTATGCAATATGGTCCACAAATATTATAGGGATTCCCTTTCGTGCACCCCAGAAGATTGAAGAATAAGAATATCGAACTTCGAGCACCGAGCACCCCGTATATCAATTTTTAGGTGAACGTGAACTACAACCTGGTCCACCCTGTATATTGAAAATTGTTTGGAAATTCATTATTTGATATGGCTATCAAAAGAAAATAAAGGTAGGTATGCCTTCAAGCTGGAAAAAGTGTAATTACATGGTCTACTGGTTCATACTAATTCAATTATTATTCATTAGACAATAAACACACCTCTGATCATCGCAACTTCTCAAGCGTTTACTACTTTATATACTAGTCCATCGTTTTCTTTGACATAAAATGCGACACTTCTTTAAAGTTGACTAAAGTTTTGAAAAGTCTCACTTTACGTAACTATTGAGTTTTACGTTGCATAAAGCGAAGTATTTCCCAACTGTTTATCGACAATCCGATAGAATTAGGATAAATTATTCTCAGAATGTCTCCATTCTGAAATAACGATCGAGGATTCGAAATATACAGAATGATTCTGGAATTGGAGACGAATGAAAAGAATAATAAAGTATGCAGAATAGTAGATTGTTTTATTAGGATCAAAAGTGACACTTTGTTTGACAAGCGAATTTTGCATTTGCGAGGCGGAGCGTTTAGCGAAGCCGAGCGAAAGCAAAATTTGCGAGTCGAACAAAGTCACTTTTGATCCGAATGAAACATGCTATTTTTTCTGCAACCGAAACAATTAACTCAATTAAACATGTGAAGTAACCACCAATGCCGTGCCATATGTATGCAATGCAACAAATACTGACAAATAATCCATGTGGTGAGAATATTTTACCTGCATTAACAGCAGGTTAGGTTTTATAGGATGTTCGAATTGTAGTTTCAATCTAAATACAACCACAGAGTGACATATTTGTGTATGGACCAGGTGCTCAAATGGCAAATACCGCGCCAGTTCCAGCTATATAGGAACAAGACCTGGAAAATGTTAGGTTAGTGAGCATATCAACAATGATAATAGTGATTATTTATTCCTCTCCATACTACCCTGTGTTTGACTTGATAATCAAATGAAGTTAAACAATATCGTTGTTTAAGACAAAAAAACTATTGCTTGCCGTGATTATTCAAAATCAAGTTATCCATAACGAATGAAATACAGTTGAAGCAAGTATTTGAATCTTGAAGGCTTCCCTGATCAAAACAAGAATACTTAACTGAGATGTTTATAATTCCAATACTAAACTATAATAAGGTGTATATATATCTCCAGCATGGGTATGAAATGCCAAATCTGCTGAAATCGGGAACAAATCAGGTATGCATCTCAACCCAAATAACCAACCGTCACAATGTTGTTCATTCTCGATGACGTCGAGTACATCCTTTTTAGTTCCTAGGAGGTAAAGTTCAACTTTAGCTCCTAGGAACTAAAATTCAACTTCAGCTCCTAGGAAGTAAATATGTTGCCTAGCCAGTCAGTAATAGAAACGTCAATTTAAGAGCTAATTTTGGTATCAAAATGGACGACTTTTGTGTCGGTTGCAGAAAATAGTTATTTATGTACCAAGGACGAAACATTGTCTATTATAGTCAAGCCTGCGAAGTGCTAGCCGAGGCCCAACCGAGGCTAGCAATCAGGCAAGACAATAAGGTACCTTAGGGTAATAAGGCCTGGGCAAAAATACAGCCCATCCTGTTTTTCTGAGACGTCATCTATCAACGAGTGGCCTAACAGTTGTTGTTATTCAGGCGAGATAAAGGGTACAGAATTTTTCGCTGTCTTTCTTTTGAAATATTGCAGTTTTGAAGTGCGTTTGTTTCAGTGTTAATTGGGAAAGACCGGTGAGTACATACAGGGTGGGCCACCAGTAACGCCTCGGTCTCTAGTAGGCTAACCACTCATCTTCTTGGAATTCTTCCTCTCTAGGAAGTTGCATATCAACATAGGCTACCATTTGAGAATATTTCGAAACATACAGGGTATCCCGAAAAAACGCAAAACACTAAAGTTATACTTTTTTCAATTGAACACCCTATATATTATTTCATTTTGAGAATCTCCCTGATGAGCTGATTCCAACGACCCATCATACTCGGGGTCTAGCAGTAACAATTACTGAGATATAGGGTGTGAAAAATCGATATTTTCCAAGTTCAAGAATTTTTTGTGTCGAAACTATTCATAATTGGTCAAAACGGTTTACATGTCCCTATCTCAATTTTTTATTTACTATCGATTGGTATTTAATTAAAAAAGATACAGAGTGGTCAAAAATCTTCATTCTGAACCACCCAGTACTTGTTTTTTTTTCTGCAACTCCAAGGAAACTGGCTGTCATTCAATCTCGAACACTATACAAGTTGATCAATATGTTGTGCTCAGTCTTCCTGTTTGTCTATCAAATATTGTTGCCAAACACTCTGTATATATACATACAATATAATATTTCCTACAATGAAGGTCACAATAACTCATCCAAGTGAAGATCTGTGATATTTGAGCTACAAATAAGAATATTTCTTGTCATTATTACAAATTATCACATTTTTCTAAAAAAAAATATTTTTCTCGTAAATCTGGAAAGAAAAGAGAAAAATTGCGAAACCATTTCGAGGAAAATGCTCGACAATTATGAAAATATGCTTGAAGAAAATCTCAAAAATTTTCCATGAAATTGGGAGTATGGAGAATTTTTCATTATTTTGCAGAGGTTTGTTGTCACCATGTATAGCCAGAGATTACCATGTATTTCCATCAGCGGCCTATCTGTCATATACCCAATGGATCAATCTTCAGAATAATGAAAACCGCACCCGAATAAGTGGAATTTTCGCGAGAATATTCAACGTTGAAACTAAAGCAAAAATGTGCTTGATGCGGTTCGATTGATCAGCAGTTTTGGTTGTTGGTTCCCCAGGATGTAGTTTCAGCAAGATCGTCATTAACAGCGTTGACCTGCCTTCGTCGTAAGTTCTTAGTTTCCCAGGAAGAAATGGGAAAAGTTAGGGTCTGTGGACGAAAAGTACTTGCCTTCAATAAAGTCAATTTCTGGTTCGTATATTAATAAATGGAATGTAATTTTTGTAGATGTCGACAAAACATTATATTTGCCTATAGATTTATTATCAATCATTCTCAGAGGTTACTAGCCGAACCCGAGCGTTTGCTTTTGGTGAGGTCAAAAGCACTTTCGCAATGTTGCCGGACGTTCAAATTTTTTAATTTGGTTTTTCTTGTTTTTTGATTTCAGGATTTCTTCGAAAGGTTAGGAACCTATGACGACGGTTTCGATATATGGGGTGGAGAGAATCTGGAACTGTCATTCAAAACGTGGATGTGTGGAGGCACCTTAGAAATCGTCCCCTGTTCCCACGTAGGCCATATATTCAGGTAAGACTAGAATTTTATCAATTAATTTTCATATGAATTAGTGTTGTTGAATCATTTCGCTATTATGAGGTCTTGAATCCATTGAAAAAGTATAGTGCACAACTCGTATAGTTAGCCGCATTCGCCTATTGGTTATAATGCAAGCTCCATACTCGTGGGAAATGTCAGCCATTCTGTGCTCGTTAAATTAAACTGCTCAACGCACTTGAAAACGGAATTTCGATCAATTTTGGTTCACCATAACTTTTCACTGTCTCAACCGCGATTCTCGATTTCTTTTCAGTTTCTGAATGTTCGTTTCATTGACTATATTGAAGCTATCAGAATTATTATTGCGTGGAGTAAACCGCGGTCAAAATTGTGTACACCAAACTTCAATTTCACAAGGAATTCCAAGGAATTTCAAGGAATTCGAGTTGTTTGTACACCATAATTATAACGCACTTCACACAAAGAATTCCAAGAAACTCCAAGGAATTCCAGGAAATTCTAAGGAAATCCAAGGAGTTCCAAGGAAATCCAAGGAAATCCAAGGAAATCCAAGGAGTTCCAAGGAAATCCAAGGAATTCCAGTTGTTTATAGCCCAGGAATATACCGCATTTCACCCAAGGAATTTCAGAGAATTCCAAGGAATTCCAAGGAATTCCAGTTGTTTGTACACCAGAATTCCACCGCGCTTCACCCCTTGGATTATTGCATCTCTTGAGAATGAGATTCTACAGGATGATAATTGAAGCTATCCAATTTTTCGAGAATTTCAAAATTATCCTGTTTGGAAGGTAAATTTTTTTCAAATTTCTCTAAGGTGACATACATATCGCACCAATTTTTTTCTCGAAATAATTTTGGAATTTTCGGGAGCTTTACACTCATAACTGGAATGTAAATATTGGTATAAGATGTGATACATAATTTGATGCTCTGAATTCTATTGACTGGGTGTTTTTATCAACAATCTTGAAATGTTGTGTGGTCAACAAATTTTTTGATACAGGGTGGTCCTCAGAAAACAATGATGTCATTAAATTGAAAAAAAAAAATATTGAAAACTGATGGTAATTTTAATATACAACTTCCATCATTAATTCATTCATTTATCCCTCAACACACTGTACATATACAGGTTATGTCAAGACGAGCTTACACTTATTTATATCGAGAATCACTCGGGAGAAATCCATGAAAATGTGCATGTTTATATTTTAGAATACGCTCTGCAGTGTTGCCGCTTCTACTAGAAAGTAGTAGCATTATTGATATTTCAAATTAAACACCCTGTATCCTATCGCATTTTTAGATTTTCTCTGAATAGCTAATTTCATCGTTGTATCACACTTGGAGTCTTTAGAAAAAGACTACAGAGATATAGGGTGTGTTCAAAATCGAGATTTTTCAACTTTGGGATTTTTTCGTGTCGAAACTATTCATTATCGGTCGAAACGGCTCACATGTCCTTATCTCACTGTTCACTGATATTTAATCGGAACAGATACAGGGTGGTTCGAGATTCAGAATAATGATCACCCTGTATCTGTCCCGATTAAATATCAGTGAATAAAAATCAAAAGTTGAAATAGGGACATGTGAGCCGTTTCGGCCGATAATAAACTTATTTGCAGCCATTATTCCGGATATACTTCCGTCATGTGATAACAAGTTGAAACAAAAAGCAAATGGAAGGAATATCCAAACGTGCCGCGACTCTTACTGATCTAAGTGAGTGGCAGAGCGTCAATATTTCAGAGAATATTTCGTCCCCGTCGAAAGATAATATCCGATGGACCCGTGGAAAACTCATGTGAAGCTCGCTCTACAAGTATTCTAATCCACATGTTGAGTTTTACACTGGTCCATCGGATATTATTTTCAGAGAGTAGCGAAATATTCTCCGAAATATTGATGCTCTGCCGCTTACATTAGATCAGGTTGAGTCGTGGCCGTTTGCCCATTCATTTGCTTTTTGTTCCAACTGCTCCACATTTGAAGTGAGACAAGCGAACATTTTGTTTGTTTTCGAACCGTGATAACTTTGGATGAGATCAACCGATCTTTGATTAGTTTTGAGATTGTGATTGCCCAGTTGATTGGCTATAACAAATATTTTTTACGTTTCTCCACCATTTGAGAATTATGACCTACAGGATGATATCTGAAAGTGTGATAATTTCCGAAAAGTTTGAGGTCGCCCCGTTAGCAGGATATTTTTTTTTAAATTTTTCTGACGGCAAAAACATGCACCCTAATGTGTTTCCTCGAAATGGTTTCGGATTCATCAAGATCCATACAGGATGTTTTGAGATATGCAATATCATGGATTAGCAAAAGTGATTTCGTGATTGAACGAAAAACCTTCAGGGTTAGTTCGCAGGGAGGAATAAAGTGAATGTGGAGTGTGGTTATTTCATGAATAAAATTGTCAAAGCTAGGATGTTTTTTTCAGTGGATATAGAGAATGAGAATTGATGAACATATACCACGAAGAGAATACAGATAATACGTAACACAATATTTTTTTAATAAAGAAAAATTAACAACGGCAGATGTGGTCGATTATCAATATTTTGTTACACCACCCCTGGCCGCTGCGAGAGCCCTAACTCTTCTCGGCATACTTGTTATCAAGCCATCAATGAAATCTTGGGGAATAGCTGTCCATTCTTCCACTATCGCATCTTCCAGTTGTTGAATATTCATCATTTCACCTTCTCTTCTCTTCAAACATAATTTTAACCTAGCCCATACATGTTCTATTGGGTTCATGTCTGGAGATACGGGTGGCCATTCCATCCTCTCAATATTATGTTGTCTCAGAACTTCGGTTACAATTCTCGCACGATGTGGTCGTGCATTATCATCGACCAGTACGAAATTGTCTCCAAAGTTTTGAGCAACTGGTATAACAACATCTCTTATACACATGTCACGATATCGAACAGCATTCATACTTTCCCTCAAAATAACCAACGTGGTGCGATGATTCATCATGATACCGCCCCATATCTTAACACCCCCACCCCCAAATGCCACCCGCGCCTCCATGTTTTCCTCCAGAAACCTCTCACCCCGTTCTCGCCATACTAAAATCCTTCCATCTGATCTGAACATATTACACCTACTCTCATCAACGAATAAACATCTCCTCCAATCAGCTATATTCCCCAGTTCAAATGGTTCTGAGCCCAAAGTCTTCGAGCTATCCTGTGGTTCAGCTTTAACAAAGTACAAGATGCCCTCCTTCTCGCTCTCAGATTGCGCTCATGAAGCCTTCTTCTGATTGTCTCATCTGAGACAACAACTCCTGTTGCATTTCTTAGTGCACAGTTCAGTTGTCCAGCAGTCTGTGTTCGGAGACGACGTACCGAAGTAACCAAGAAATTATCATTTCTATCTGAAGTCTTCCGTTGTCGTCCACCTCCGTGACGATAATTAGGATCTCTTGTTCGATCGTGACGACGGATTGCCCTGTATATTGAAGCTCTTGATGTATCGAAATACTGGGGTCGCCACGACCTATCTAGCGATTAGAGAATTGGGTGTCAGGTATTCTCTATAATAACTTGTATTGAGTAATGTGGAGGTGCCCCATCCTCTTGCAATGAAATACCTCTTACAATCCATTTGCTTACATCTAACACAGCATTCTCTTTTAGTGCTTCCTGAATCGTGAAAACATCAAGCTCACAATTGAATTCGCTGATTGAGAGAGTTCACATGCAATGAGATCATATTCAATAGTTCTTGAAAAGTTCCTCTATGAAGTATGAGTAGGCACGTCGTATATCTGATTCGGTTGAAAATATTTTACCTAAGCGATAATTCCTCATATTGAGTACAATGTTTCCACATTTCCACATGTAGAAGCAGATATCAATTGGAAATTATTTACGTTCATATTTCCAAGATCTCTTCATAAAAATCAAGTCCAGTCCTGGATTTTTTCATCGAATACAGCCTCTTTCCAACTCTTATGATACACCTATATTATATGCAAGAAATGGATTTGAATGAATTTGTCGAACGATTTGACTACAATATACCGACTCAGTGGTTCGTTGTTCTTTGTAGAATAATTCTTTTCTGGCTGATGACGGATACCTTTTGGGTCCGAAACTTGTCCCCCCCATCTTGAATTTGAAATTAAACGTTGTGGACACGACTTAGAGAGTTTCTAAATATACAGTGTGACCCATTGAAGATGGAAGCACCCTTATGAAACTTACATTTTTCAACCGATTGGAATGATTTTTTTTTGTTAGGTAGATATTCAAAAAGTCTATTAGGACACCAAATATCATGAATAAATCTCCATTTCCAGGGCCAACTAATCTGATTTTTCAAGGTCAAAAATCTAAAAAAATTACTAGCGATTTTTTAAGAAAAAATCTGACTACACCACTAGATTTGTGACATTTTCAAATGGGTAACATGTTAATTACGTTGAAATGCGTCAATCAATAAAAAAGTTATAAAGGAATGAAATTTGAAAAATATGCCGTTTAATCAACCCACCAATTCATGTTCAGGAATTTTATGAAAATTCTGTATACTCCACTGGATTCAGGATGTCTTGAAATATTACTGATCACAGTTTCATCGAAATCTGTTCAGTAATAAAAATTGATGGGTTGATTAAACGGCATATTTTTCAAATGTCATTCCTTTATAACTTTTTTATTGATTGACGCATTTCAACGTAATTTACATGTTACCCATTCAGATTTTTTCTAAAAAAATCGCTAGTAATTTTTTTAGATTTTTGACCTTGAAAAATCAGATTAGTTGGCCCTGGAAATGGAGATTTATTCATGATATTTGGTGTCCTAATAGACTTTTTGAATATATCTACCTAACAAAAAAAAAATCATTCCAATCGGTTGAAAAATGTAAGTTTTATAAGGGTTCTTCCATCTTAAATGGGTCACACTGTATTTTAATAGATAATTATGTTTTGATTATAGGAAACGTTCTCCCTACAAATGGAGGCAAGGCGTCAACGTCCTTCGAAGGAATTCCGTTCGGCTAGCCGAAGTATGGTTGGACGAATACGCGAAATACTACTATCAGAGGATAGGAAACGAGAAGGACGATTACGGTGACGTCAGCAAAAGGAAAGAGTTGCGGAAAAACTTGGGCTGCAAGAGCTTCAAATGGTTCTTGGACACCATTTACCCGGAGCTGTTCATTCCCGGCGAAGCGGTAGCCAATGGAGAGGTAAGTTCATACAGGGTGATTGAAAAACATACGAGAACATTATACAAGTTGTCCAGAACAACGTACCATACGTACCATGGATTCTACAGGGTGAACTAGACACCAAAATAGACTAGCTGAAATCAGCTTACCTCCATACGTGAGAGGGTGATGAAGAATTATTATCTTATTCAAATATTTTCCTATTTGCTGGAAGGGACTGCTCTAAAATTCGTAAGACAATTCATTACTATCATCAATGTGCTTGAAAATCATGTTAGAAGAAAGTTGATGTAACTTTTTTGGAATACGCTACTGGCCTTATTTCGATATTTCAATTAAAGACAAAATCAATTATATAACTTTTTTCTGCAGTATCTGTATAATTCTCCTTAGTTTTCGAAATATGTCCAACAAATTTTATTTTGGTGGTTCTCCATACTTGTTTATAATGTCTGGAGTACCTTTCATATTTGGCAGTCTACCTCATTTGTGTTGGAGTAATTGACCACAATATTCATCTTTCGCAAGCTCATCATCATATATGATCTGGGAGCTGGTTGATTCCAAACTCCTTTATTTTCTTCTCGCGAAAAAAAATTGAAGATGACCAATAACCTTATCGTAATTATGCTAACGTATTTCATAAACATGATAATTGTGGTCAATATAACTCAACACAAATGAGGTAGAAACTTGCAAAACATGATAACCCTGACAAATCATAAACAAGTATGGAGAAGCAAGCACCAAAATTAATTAGGGATATCTCGAGAACTGAGAGAAATTAGAAAAAAGCTGTAGTTGAAAAAAATTCGATAATCAATTTTGTCATTCATTGAAAAATTGAAAAATGGTCAGTAGCCTACTCCAAAAGAGTTGTATCAATATTCATCAAAGGGAATGCGATGAAATACCTATATATATCTCCCTGTATATTGATTAAAATTGATATACAGTGTGTCCCACTTACCATGCTCACCATGGGTATCTTTTTAACGGTGAGAGATACGAGGTCGGTTAAATGACACCAAATGTGGAGTTTGTCAAGGCCAACTTTAATGTGAAAAAATATTCTGATAAAATCTATTCGTTTTTGTTTTATACGCAAAAAACAGATTCTGATCATTTTCATGTCTCCTCCGTAACTTCTTTATTTATTAAAATACTCAAATAGGAATTTCACACTCTCATGGCAGTTTCTCAATGTGATTTCGAAAAAAATATGAAATTTATACCAACTCTTCTAGAATTTGAGATATCAGCACCAACTTTAGTTTTTCAAATGTAGATCATAGCTCACTATGACTTAGTTACATGTAACTTTTTTTCCTCTTACAGATGGTATATCGCAGTAATAGTTTTGTGTTGATAACAACTGAGTTATCGTAATTTATACAAAAACAAAAAATTATTTGGAAGCCGCCATCTTGAATTTATGAATTTTAACAAAAAAATCATGATCTCCGACCTCAAAAACCCCCACCCACCAATTTTGAATGAAATCGGACCAAATTTTGTCCGCCATCTTGGAGCAGCCATTTTTTTCATTGACGATAGTAAATTGCCTAACGAATTTTGGAGCAGTACCTTTGAAGGATTTCGAAATGTTCAACAAGATCTGGAAATAAAATTATTCTTCAACGCCTTCTGACGATCAATAGGCCCATTTTAGTCTCTAGTTCACCCTGTAGAATTGATGGTACGTTGTTCTAGGACACCCTGTATTGTAACGATATTCGTGGGCAGGATAAGTGATTATAGTGCAAAGCAGACTTTTTCGGCTGAACAATCCTCATCAGTTGCACTAGGTGACAATCGATTCACGTACGGAAAAACACATTTTTTTACGTTGATGATGCAAAAAACAAACCTTTATTGAACTATGTTTAGTAGGAAAAATGGCGTTCTTATTGCACTAGTACCTACAATGAAATTTTTATTGCACTCATCTATCATTCTACTAATGACAATGAACAGATATCTTATACTACAGTGGCAGCTCCTCAGAGGAGGCAACGGAGGCTGAGCCTCCTCAGAGATTTTCCTTAAACTAATATTATCTATACTTTCTCATTGAAAGGACACCAAAATACATGGATTTTGATTCTATTTCCTGTTTTTAGTTAAATATTTTTGAATTGGCAACAGGGCTTGCCCACGCATCACACGTTGAAGTCTGCAAATCACGCGTAAAATATTCTACTTGGCAAACATCTATAGGAGGCTAGATTTCGTCACATGGTGCAACCTACGCGCGCAATGCAAATGCCCGAATACGCTTGAATAGCACGTGTTTGTCGTGTCGCTTCGCGAATTGCGGACAAACGCGAGTGCATTGTTTATGTTTATGTTAGGTTAATGGTTAGGGGCTCTATAAATTTCTAAAAAATGAGTGTTTTAATAAACGATTGCGGTTTAGTGGGATACTTTTTGGTGAACCCATTCAGTGCTTTGTCTTATGAAGATAAATTGATTGTGAAAAACAAATGTTCGACACCGTAATTGAAAAATCTGATTGTAACAGGTAACAAACAAAATCGTTCGTTCAATTCTGATAATTATAAAAAATATATCTGGTTGACGGGATCTGAGGTAAGGAATAAGCCTTTTTTATTGGTACTGCGTATTATTTTCAACCGATAAGTCATCATGTTGGGGGCGATTAGGATATAATGATTTGAAAAATTTGCCTCGCGGATTTTTTTTTTATCGCTTGGAGCGCACGAAAGGGAATCCCTATAATGTTCAGGAACACATCTCTTCAAGTATTAAGTTCAGGTTAACTGGTTAACAGAATATCATTAAAGCTATTGATTTGGGTGAGTAGAGAGTTGTTTTTCACATTGAATCTCATATCATTCAGCCTCCTCTTGACATGAAAGTCACGAGCCGCCATTGTTATACTATAATATAGTACATTTTCAGAGGTCGCAAATCAAGAAGTAGAATTAAAATATAATTCGTTAAGAAACATGAATGGTATTGAAAATTGTTCAAATTGTACATTACTTTTAACATAAAGGGTAACAAATAATGTTTGAGTCAAATTGTTCCTAATATACAGGGTGTATCTGAAATAACACCGAAAAATTTCAAGGGGTGTTTTCTTGTGACATTCTAGCAAATGAAGTTCATATAAACATATATGTCCTATCTTGCTCCGTTTTTGAGATACAGGATGTTGAAGTTGAAAGTATTAATTGTTTTTATTTATAACCTTTCATGGTGCCAAAATTCAGTATGGATGGAGACTGAGAAAGCCCCAAAATTTCAGAATGATTCTAATTGGGGTTATTGAGTAATCTCAATGGAAGTCTTGAAAACACCGGCCTACATTGAAATTTGGAGTCAAATCGAATTTTTATTGTTTCCTCAAAAACTAAGCTAGATCAAAAAATCACACAGACGATGAAAAAATTGTTGTTTCGATAGTTCAATCTCATATAAATATGAAACTCAGAAAAACCGGTGGTGTACAATTACATTCACCATGAATTATATTTCGAATCTAATTGCACTAGAAGAAGCTCCATATTACTATTAACTAAACCACAACGTTTTATTGAAATTGATGAAAAGACAATTGAGAAATGAATAGAAAAAAATGTTTCATGGAAATATTATTACCCTGTATTTCGAGCAAGTTGGGACACATGTTTTATATGAACTTTATTTCCCGAAATATCACAAGGCATCTCTCCTTGAATTTTTTCGGTGTTATTTAGATACACCCTGTATATTAGCTTCCTCTATCTATCCCAATGCAAATCGATGGTGCTAATCAATCAATCAATCAATCAATCATTCAACTTTATTATTCCCAAGAAACAACATTTGTTTATAGCAGGGAACATAGTGAATACATAAATATATTTGACAAAATAAAATAAAGAAGACAGTAAAATAAGACTCACACTCAAAAAGAATCTTCTTTTTTTTTTCAAGTACAAATGAAAATGATCCTCAATTGACTCAGCTGTTAGGTACACAATTGAAAACTATAGTAGTTGTACAAGAAAACTATAAAAATGAGATAAGATGTCAATATTACATAGTTTGCTATTTAATTACTCTTTTTGATTTTCTACACTTAGTGTCACTTTAATGAAATACCTATATTTTGTTGTTGTTGTTGTTCTTTATTACCCCAAGAAACATATTTATTTATAATAGGGATACATAAACATATGATATATATACAGTATGATGCAAATGTATGGAATAAATTCATTTCAAAACAAGACGACTTCCAAAAAAAATCAAAAAACTAGAGTTCATAACTTTTTTTATTGTGTATTTTTTCAACTAGACGACCCTTCGATGTTCAATTCTCAGTAGCAGACCTCTGCAAGATTCAGTTAACCAAATGATAATCCATTTTAATTGCAATATTCTTATGCAAAATTTTGACTGTTGGATAGACGATCAGTAGACCTTTCAAACGAGGTGTCACATGACCCCTGCTTGTATTTGAAAAAATCGTCCATTACGTCATTACTTCTACACCAGTGACGTAACATCTCTCATATGAATGTCATGAGATGAGGCTTCAAAAATTAAAACTCACGTGTTTTTGGAATTTCTTCAAATGTCGCCCATTTCTGAAATAATGAATTTATTCCATACATTCGCATCATACTGTATATAAAACAATTAAAAAAAAAACTAATTAACAAGTTATGTCAATATTGTATGCAACTAGTGCAAATACTTAAGTGTTAATTTTGCGCTTGATGAATACTTATAATTTCTGCACTTGTAGAAACTCCACAAACGATAAGTTTTCTACAAAATTCTGTGGAAATCTTATCATTTGTGAAGTTTTTACATTTGCTATGGATTTCGATCAAGTAACAGCCGAGTCAATTCAAAACTTTTTGCACTTATTGTTGCATAAATAACTATTTTGAGCACTTTTACGTGATACATCTGACGAATTATTGTTTTTAGATACGAAATCTCGGATATGGTGGGAAAACGTGTCTCGATTCACCTGCCAGGAAAGCCGATATGCATAAACCGGCCAGCCTATATCCATGCCACCGACAGGGTGGAAATCAGGTAAATATTTGTCACGCTCGATTTCTGCGTTTTTTCGTGCTTTCCCACTCATTTCAGTATACTTACATTATAATGTACCCGTCAAAGAACGTCAATTTCAAGTTAACAGAGAACTAGAACCCATATAATGGATATGGGTTCTCTTGGGTGTTCTACGAATGTAATGGGGAAGTTTCCTATATCTCACTGTGAAGTTTGTAAACAATTAATATACCGGGTGAGTCATTGAAATTGGAAAGTGAGATAACGCCTTTGCTGTTTGAGATAGATGAACAAAAATTGTTGTGATGATCTAGGCTCATGAGCAGCACATTTCCAAAATATTTCGCTTCATACAGGGTGACTTGAAAATGCGTGACGTATCAGAGTTATACTTTTTCTTATGGGACACCCTGTTCAAAATTCAGAATTATGAACTACCCTGTATTCGTTCAAATTAAATATCAGTAGATAGTAAATCAAAGTTAAGATAGGGACATGTATGCCGTTTTGACCAATAATGAATAATTTCGTCCAAAAAAAATCCTTAAGTTGAAATATCTCGATTTTGCACACCCTATATCTCTGTAATCATTCTTGCTAGACCCAAGTGTGATGCATTGATGAAATCAGCTTACAAGGGAGATTCCGAAAATGTAATAAAATACAGGGTGTCCTATAATAAAAAGTATATTTTTCATACGCCACGCATATTTGAGTCACCCTGTATACGCAAAGTAATTCAGAAATATGCTTCTCATGAGCCTAGACCATCACAAAAATTTGTATTCATCTATGTCAAACAGCGAAGTCGTTATCTCACTTTCCCATTTCAATGACTCACCGTGTATATGTATTTTTTCTTTTTTTCGTAAGATCAAATGTCACTTCAGAAAAAATTAAATAAAAGAGGAACTTGGCTCCTCCACCATTCCTATGACTTACTTTCTGAAAATCCACATTTACACAGAGTTAAAATACGATTCCCTGTGCCAGTGTGGTGCCAGTACGACGTTGCCGACATCATCGATATGTCTAGATTTCCGGAAATTGTTCTTTGAATGCATAACAACTATATCATAAAAGCAGTGGGATATAATAGGTTCTACAATCCTATACTACGTCAAGTATTATGAATAATTCCCATAAATCTCTCATTGGCTGAATGAAGTTGATTACTAAGATGAATTATGAAATTTTGCGATAGTTTCTATAATTTTTCACTATCGTTATATTACAATATATTATTCATAACTTGTCAGTCATTTTTTCGCTTATGAATTCGTTCCTTAATAAAACGGATCTATCTCCAAGGAAAGTTGCAGATTATATCTTGCAACAGTGCCTAATACTTCGAGTCCGTCCACACCACTCAAAATACTGACAGGCACAACAAGAGGAAGGAGCTATGGGTGTCGGCTTCATTCTGTTCTGACCGGTGACAGTAAATTAGGAAGGATAGTATCATTGAATGTAGCCGATAGTGATTCATTGATATTTTCGTTCAGGATCGAGCTCTATTCGAGATATTTCAATGCATGAATAACAAAACCATAACCTGTCAGAATGAAGCCAACTACCTTCTGCATTCCTGCTCCGAGTGCATTCGTGGTTATGGATGTTTTTGTTTACCAGTTCTACTTCTTCTAATTTTTTTATATCGTTTTTCATTCGCTAGCTATTCGCTAGCTATATTCTTCACCATCAGCTATTTTCAGACTAGATTCAGAATGTACGTCACAGTTTGCCGCCCCGAAAATTAGAAATTGCTTTAATTTGAAAATGAAAACGACTTGGACTTTATCGGTCGCTATTCTGTACAGCGTGTACATAAAACTGGAGAGTTCGCAGAACTTATTTTATGAAAATTCATTTGAAGGAAACTTCCCCATTTAATGTTCGACGAGGCAAATAGCCAGGAAAGTAGTTGTTTTCTGTTGAATGTTCCGTGAAAAATTAATATTTTCGCATAAAGAATCCGAATTCTCAATGTATTTCTTCCTATGTATAATTTTTTTTCATATTCATGATAATATCTGAGAATATTCCTTTCCAACTTTCACACCCCATCAAGGGGTTCAAACTTGATCCATAGAAATTTGTTATTTTTACAGACCTCTATAATCACAAATTCTTGATTGGGTTTCCTCAATTCAGAATATTTCCACACCCTGTATGATGAAGATGAA